ATCGCTAGGAACCGCAATGGGACCCTCACCGATAATAGGAGTACCGTCATCATCCAACAAAGGAGCAGGCTCGCTAGGAACCGCAATGGGACCCTCACCGATAATAGGAGTACCGTCATCACCATCATCCGAAGGAGCAGGCTCGCTAGGAACCGCAATGGGACCCTCACCGATAATAGGAGTACCGTCATCATCCAACAAAGGAGCAGGCTCGCTAGGAACCGCAATGGGACCCTCACTGATAAGAGGAGCTCGTCTTACCGGTCGAGGTAAGGAATCTTCCAGAGATCGAGAGCGTTCAAACGCAGTAACCCCGCTCAATGAAATGCTGAGACTCACACTTGAGATGAACAGTGATAGAGCCCGCCGCATATTACTCAGAATCTCGTCGAATGGATCACAAGATACTGTAAGGTTTCTGATAAGGATTCAAGGAGGAAACGAGATGGCATTGAGGTCATCGTTTTAATCTTAAAACATGTACAACTTTTCTTCTCCCCAAAAAGATCCATAGTTGACTTATTGGCCAGCACCACAGACAATCTGATTCACCAGGTTACGCGTAGTCATAATTGTCATAGAGGTGCCATGACGTATTTTGTATATGACAGATTCAGAAGAGGCTGTTATCAGAGTGTATTGATTCTTGCTTCTTGTACTCAATATCATGGTTAAGCTACATAAAAAGTGGTCAACCTAATAAAGACCAGTTATAGTGGTTTACTGCTTACGACTCAAGAAGGAGAAGAGGTGACGATTACGGTCATCGATCTGATCTCAAAAATTGTATAATAAAACCCTCTAATATATCTGAGGGACAAGTGACAGTGTAATATAAGGGTTATGATCAGGAATCAAGGCTAAAAGAAGGTGGCATTAAGCTCATTTTTATATTCTTCGTGCCCAGGAAGGTTCAGAGCTGAGTTATTGTCCAGCACCACAGATTCTGATTCACTGGCTCACGCGCAGAAATCATACCGAGAGAGTTGCCCTAAGTATGTCTTACATGAGAGATTCAAAACAGGCTCTTATCAAAGATTATTGATCCTTTGTTCTTGTACTCAATATTCAAGTTATATGCTACTCGATAGGCAGTCATCCAAATAAAAACCAGGTATATTCATTGCTATCATTTAAATAGAATGAGAAAAACATTTGACTAACGCCGGCGTATCTTCTTGGAGCGTTAAAAGATTCAAAGCTTTCGTTTAGGGTGATGGTAGAAAATGCACGATATTTAGAGTAAATATGTTCGTGCTTCAACGACTTTCATGAAGGTATATCTTAATAAGATACGTCAACGTGCAATTGCATGTTCGTAGAGTTCATTGCATGCTCCTTCTCTCGAACTTGACAGATTCACAGAGTACCAGTCTTCGGGGAAATAACCATCCGCGTGAATCTCATCTTTACCGGATGTCGATTCTTTCCGGACGCAATGTCAGAGGATATAATCGAGCTTCTATCTGAAGCAAAAAATTCGATGGAACGATAAAGGCATTTAGTGAATGTCTTTTTCTCACCTCAGCTGTGTCTCTACAAGACGACAGAGCACAACTTTCTTGTTAAAAATGTCGTTTCGCGCTACAAGTGAGTGATGGATGTTTCTCGGCGTGTAAAAAGAAATAGTGCATTTTGCGTCGCGGTCCGGCCGAGCCGAGCCGCAGTACCACCCGGCGGGAAGCACCCAGGAGAGTATAGACTTTCCCTCGGGGAAGAAGGTGTAGCCATAAATCTACCTATTTGGTATTTTTCTGTGCCTTTCTTCTCCGAGGGAAAGTCTATACTCCCCTGGGTGCTTCCCGCCGGGTGGTATTGCGGCTCGGCTCGGCCGGACCGCGACTCGCACTATTCCTTTTTACACGTCGAGAAACATCCATCACTCACTTGTAGCGCGACGCGACATTTTTAACATTCGAAATAACGGCGCACGAGCAATTTGTGTATTAGCAGTCATCCATAAATGTCGGCATAACTCCACTTCAACCTTTTTTCTTATTTCAGTTTGGTAGTTTAAGTGACCGAATGGCACTTTGAAAAGCTTGAAGAAATACATACCTTGTGAGAGAAGAATGGTTCAGAGTCTCTACCATTTCCCGTGCATTTAGCATACTAGTGCGACGTTCATGCATCAGGATACGATAAATACATATCAGCATCCAGATCTAGAAATCTCCGAAACAACAACTGATTATGCGATGCGTAGTAAATGACGAAGTGCTAAAAAACCAAAAAGAGGAGGATGACTTCTTTAAGTGCGTATCTAAAATGATGTAAGTTACTTGACGGTCAGCTGATGCAGTATGAAGATCAATAAAAAGCATAATAAATCTTGTACGTCATTCACCCTACAGCCTTTCAACAAATGCAGTTGAAGGGTCGATCTATACCATCTCGCCAATAGTCATAAGTTTCTCCACATTTTGACATACATCCCTCAAACGAAAGCCATTGGTCAATGCAACACTTAAATAACAAACTATGCGATCGTTTTTATTTTTTGTTAGAATCAGAAGTATTATTGCTTCATTTTGGACGTTTTATAAATAAGATGTATCTAAACATTTCCGTATCTTCAACATGATTAAAATGCTAGGCCTAAGTCTTTTGCAAACCAAAAATCCTATACTTTTATTACATTTTTTAGTTTTTCATGGTTGTATGTGCCTAGGAAGCATGCATAAAAATTGCGCCCGGTTGGTATGGAATATCAAGCGTTAGGGACTTCTCAGTCCATGAGTAATTCCCATTCAATTGGCGGCAATACCTTATTCTTCGCTGTCATATTGAGATTTTCATTCTATAGATCGCTGTATGTATCACGACTGATATCCCATGTGCTATTGCGCTTTATTTCGTCACATTGCGTCATTTCACAACTTCGTTGGCGTTGCCGGCTTAGCGTCGGGAGATTAATCAGTGATGTCCTGTCTCTCACCTGAAGCCGCAAATAGCGATTTTTTTCCCGATGTTAGATATAACTTTAGCGCACGTTGTAAGAGAAAGCTCGTATGTAACTTTATTGGACAAGATACAATCCTAACTTCACTTAAATTGTTCTCGATTTCCTTTCCCCAACATGCGCTGTTCGTCTTTGGTCCTTCCTCTGGGCGAGAAGGAAAGCAACCCGGAGTTGAAGCCCGCGGGAGCGACAGACTACTTTCACATGTGACCGAGCAAGTGGGTCTTCGAATCGATGTCAAAGAAAAACAATGTGATTTTGGATATGAGGACTCTCTTACAGGAATAAGGACTCTGAAATTTGTGGGAGGTGTCCCTGTTGTTTGTTCGTTTGCGTGGCATGTGCATGCCAGAATTATCGACGGAGGCTCTTAGGCTCAGGAAGCTCTGGTCGACCCCCGTGAAGGCTAAATGTCCCTTTATATCTCTCCAAAGGATCATGCATGGGAACGAAAGAAATACAGACAATGCATGTCCAAGGAGTGCTAAAAGATTTAAAGCAGGCGAGGAGCTTCCCTCCACACTCGCGAGCCTCCACTCTACCAAGTACACTCATATCCGCTTCATTGGATATGTCATTCCGACTACGCCCGCTAACATCGTCGCCGTGGGTGATCCTAATGGTCAAGGTGCCGTTGCAGGTACTTATCTCGGTCATGAAAATGTACAAAAGGACATTCAAGGGCGTTTGTCTGTCCTTCAAGTCGCCGTCAAGACTGCGAAAGCCCAGCTTCCTTCCAACGACGTGAATGGGACAGTGCTGACTGTTTTTTGCGCACCTGAATTCTTCTGGCATGGCCATGAGGGTCCTTATTTACACACGAGCAAAGCAGAGGACCCTGCTGATGTAATTTTACAGGCGCTGGCGGACGCGTTCCCCGCCAATGAGTATCCACATTGGTTGTTTATCTGTGGGACTGCTATCACTGCCCGTGTCGAAAACAAGGAGAAACTCTACAATTTAAACTCTACCATAACACGAAATGCTGTGGTGGAATCCCTGTGCCGACAACTAAGACATTGCTATGGACCTCTGTCCGAGGTGATCATGGATATGCTGGTCGGCTTTATTAAACATTGCCACGCTTACCCATTGCTGTCCGTCCGGAACAGAGCCTTGATTCTCGGCAGTAATCTACATGATGTGTCAAACCAGGAACTGGCCACAAAAACCATGACTACAGAGAAATATTTCTGTAGCAATGAGGATTTCTTGCTTTACGAGGTGAACAAACAGCCGGTGGTCACTGAGCAGGTATGTCGCCGCGCTCTGCTTCTTATCCCCGATCCCGCAGAGTGCCCTGTACATTGCCCTTTATCCCGCCTTCTGGCCTGTGACTCCATGATTTACCTCATTGACAACGATTGAATAAGGCACCGATTGGATCGGTTCCCTTTTCATTGCTGGAACGTTGCCTCGTCTTCCAATGCTCCCACCTTGGCTCCTCTGCTTTATGCGACCGATCCTCTCGCCATTCGCACCCTATCTCTCTCCCAAATGCCATATACGCCATCCATGTCTCATGCTTTGTTACTCACACTATGTTTTTGCTTCTCAGATGGTCACCTATCAATCCATTGACCTGACTGCGGGGGACGTCAAGCGACACACACGGGACAAGTACGCAATTTTCCAAGTAAGCCCTTCGCCGCTCGGTTCAGCTCCTGATTCCTTCATCCAAAGTAAAGACAAGAGTAAGCAACCCCCCCTGGTTGAATCAGGGATTCCCATGACGGCGTCATGGAGGGAAGGTCCCTCCGTGGGAGCAGAACGGGTGTTGGACGTGGCGGTAGAAATTTGCCTCGATCATCGTGATGTCCGGTTGCGGCGAAACATTGGGAATCACCCATTCCACGTGCAATTGATCCCGTCTTGTGGGATGCAAATCAAGGAGAACGGGGCGGCAGTGGAAGAGGGGGGCTTGATTTTCAACGTGGATGGGCAATACGCGATCGGCGGCACCTCCACTTCGGCCTCAGGCCTCCCCCAGAGGGGAAAAATAAATGAGGTACCCTGTCTCTTCACGAATTTCGTCGATGAGACAAACGAAGGGTACGCAGGGCACACACAGCTTGCCCGTGTGCAACGTCGGGCGGTGGGGGCGCATGTATCGGCGAAAGGGAGTCGGAATGCCTCGTTTTATGAGGACTTGGGCACGGACGACGTGCGCGTGTTTCCCGTCAAGGCCGTGCATAATCTCGCTTCTTTCTTCGCAGGAGGGCCAGGGGCTTTACACATCTATGGATTCCATAAGCCTTTGCCATTGTACATGGACTGAGGTGTTGGATTGTCAGTGGGTATCAGGGAATGCAAAATGATGGGGAGGGAAATAAAGCCAAATGAGAGGGAAAGGGTGATGCGAAAAATGAAATGGTAGCAACGGAAAAGTTAAACGAGGTGGAGGAAGGTCCTGCCTTGTATGCTCTCACACTGAGATTCAAAAAGTACAGCCATGAAAAATAGGGACGCGACGTTCAGGTTGCACACTGTTTTCACAAATCCTTTTTACCTTCTCCCCCGGTATCTGTCTGACATTTCTATCCGGATTTTATTGTTCCCCTTTGTAAATGATATCGACATCCCTTCGTGACTTTTTCCGAGCCATGCACAGCCTGCTCCCGGAACACGTTCAATACCCTCATCCATTCCTTCACCCTAGCCTCCGCTTTTCCCTTCCTTGCCGCCTTTTCCACGGCAAAAAGGTCCGAGGGCAGACTTTTTTGTCCTGTGAAGCCCCTTCTTCCCTCCTTGGCCATTGTCCTTCCCTCCTTAACTTTTCCGTGGTTAATGCTCTGTAAAACATATCACCACGTAATCATTGAAGCGTGAGGAGATGGCTCCTTACTGCCTTCCCTCCCCCCCACCTTCCCTCCCTCCCTTACTCCTTCCCACCCTTCCTCCTTCCCATTCCTTCATTTTTATTGTCGTAACCTCACGATAGCTCTCATTCCGCAAGTAAGAACTTCAAAATGTCGTGAGAAAAGCGATCATTGAAGGCGGGGTTATGAGTGTTCTTTTCCATCAGCCACAATGCCTGTTTGGCGTCATTCCTCCTCCCGCACGCGTCCCACGCCAAGATAGACCTGAGGACCGGCAGCGAGCCAGAAAAACGGCGGGTGGGAGAAAGAAAGAGGGACAGAGCGAAGCGAAGAAGAGGGAGGATGTGAGAAGGGAGGGAGAGGAATCGAAGAAAGAATCAAGGGAGAGCGAAGAGAGAGAAAGCCGTGAGAAGAAGCGTCGTTGAGGATATAGACAGTCAGAAAGGAATGGAGAAAAGGAGGGAGGGAGGGAGGGAGGGAGGGAGGGAAACAGGAGAAGAGAAACTCACGTCTCTGGGTAGGTCCCTGTTTTCTGGCAGTTTCTGTCCCTGCGTGCACCCAAAGAAAGGATGAGTGAAAGGAGTCAGGCCCATCGTCTTCCTCTCTTCCTTCTCCCCTCCCCACCCGTCAACCTGCCTCCCTCCGTTTCCCCCCCGTAATTCATGTCTTTCCGTCCCTCCTTCCCGCTTAACATCCTCGTTTCCTGGATTCTCTTGCGCTCATTTTGTTCAGCACGTCACATCACCATCGTCTGCTTCTAGAAATTCGCCAGTGGCTTTCGACATTCTTCACTTTCCTTCCTTTCTCCCTCCCTCCCACTATAACATCCGCCCGCCTGACCTGTAGTAGTTATACCACGAATCGATCCCTGCCGGTGCATTTACAATACAGTCGTAGTCACGGGTCTCGCCTGGGAGACGGAGCGGATGGAGAGAGGGAAAGAGGGAGAGGGGTTGGAATGGAAGACATCCGTTGGAGGAGGAATTAGGACGAGAGGAAGTGGGCAGGATAGGCCCTACAACAAGGAATCATTGCATTCACATTGCTGTGTATGCATGAGTCTGGCACGGGAGAAGAATAGAAAGAGATAGGAAGGGAAGGAGGGAGGGAGGGAGAAAAAGGACGGATTACCTTCTTCTGTTGCCGTTGACGGGCACCCAAGGTGTGTCCCCCATTGGCCCATATTGGAGTAACCGTCCTGGACAGAAAAGAAGACGTCTTCCGTGCCTGCCACCATCAAAACCTGAAGCAGGGGTCGAGAAGGGAGGGAGTGTAGCCATAAATCTACCTATTTGGTATTTTT